TGTCCTCAGGAGCCCACTCCCCTTTTGCCATTCCCTCTCGCCTCTTGCATTTTTCAATGCTCGCCCCTTCTCTGCTGCGCCCCCGTCCCTTTTCGCTCCGTTCCTTCCCGGTCCACCTTCCGCTCAGCCCTACCCCGCACACTTTCACGACTCACACTCCACTGGCCGCCTCTTCTCGCTCTTGGGCCGATCCCCCTCTTCCACGTCTCCGTGTTTCCTCTGCTCGCTTTTCTCGCTTCCCATTCCACTACCACGTCCTTCCTCTGTACTCCGCGCCGCATGTTGCTTCTCCTCCCTCTACACTGTTCGCTGATTCCCACTCTGATCTCTTCCTAACCTCCTTGACTGACACTCAGTTCAAGCCTTTCGTAGCTGCATCGCTGTCCTCAACTACCATTACAAGACACTCCAGCCGCTATTAAATTTTTCATCTCCGTATATTCTCACTTTTCCATTCCAACTCTGTTGCATTATACTCAAAGTGCGGTGATCTTTTTGGACGAAATGCTTAATACATTCCATTAATAATTGGTATTTATTTCATATTTACTCCAGCAGTTTGTTTATGATCAATAAAAAATAATGCATTTTTTTTATATTCCATCATCAAATATTATACGGTATTTTATATTATGGACGTTTTTTAATAAACGTATATATTAGCGTTTCCTATGTAAATCTCCATTTATTCCATCTCGTACAAAAATGTTTTATGCCTTTCTCTAGTTTCTGTATTTTATTTCTCAAAATTCAGACCATTCATTTTCTCGGTATTGCTAGCGATTTCCTACGCGCCGTCTTCTCTCTGCTAGGTGTGTTCTTTGGAACTTTCGGTATAATATAATTATGATATAATATATATATATATATATAGTAGTATATATATATAGTATATATATATATAATATATATATATATTGCGCGTTTTGCCCCAAGTTCTCGACGATTCGTTTTAACCGTCTATTTCCTCATTTTCCGGTGTGTCTTGTATGAACAAATAAAAAAATAATCCACTTTTTCTAATTCTTTCATTCATTATTATACTGAGTGAATAAAAGATATAAAGTCGAACGAATAAGAGTTATAATAGGCCAAAAACTGGCAACAAATAACTTTCGGTAGTGCCCGATTTTATATTTCATGAATACTTTTACCGCTGAAGGATGTTGTTTTGCCCCGGGAGGCCGTTGCAAGTAGAATGACCGACGGCGACCCGCGTTGCACCGTGCCATCTGGGCGCCGCGGGAAACGACGGAAGGCCTTCGCCATTTCACGGCCTCGCCGCGCGCCACCGTCGTCGCACGCCCTCCCCTCCGCCGCGCCCACCCGACCCACCGCCCTGGGACCGTGGGCACCTCGGACATCGATGAGTCCTTTTTTGGCCCCGGGCCCCGCCCCCCATGCGCCCTCCCCGGGGACGCGCGTGCGCGAAGCGGCAAAAACAACGCGTCTCCGCGACGCCGCTCAACACCGAGCGCCGCCGGGGAAACCAGCCCAACAGAATCGGGTACTAATCGGAAAAGTATTTTGACGTGTTTTGGTTGTCGTCCACGTCTTTTGTTCGAACTTGGGAATATTTGGTATTCATCAGTTTAATATATGGATTGAAGAATAGAATAAGAAATGCATTACTTTTTTCTATTGTTCATATAGTAAGAAACGGGAAAAATGAGGGAGAAGGAGATAAAACGAATAGGTCAAGAGATATGGGAAAACCGCGAATATATATATATATATATATATATATAGATATTATATAGTATATCTGTAATTATATAGAATATATATATATATATATACCGAAAGTTCAAAGAAACACCTGCAGAAGAGAAGACGGCGAAGGACAACGTTTAAATACGAGAAAATTAATGGTCTACAATCTTTTAGTAAATAAAATACAGAAACTAGAGAAAGGCATAAAAACATTTTTGTAGAGATGGAATAATAAGAGATTTACTAGAAAAACATATGTCAACTTATGTCTCCGTACACATGTAAACAACCATGACAAATAAAAAACATATAGAAGGTACCAGCTTGGGGAATGATACATATAGGGAGAAAGACACAATGTCAAATCATATAATGACAGTTGAAAACTAATATTTTGAAAAACGAAGAAGGATAAGATGACCTTTTGGAGTAAAAGAATTACTTTTAAGGGACTGGTACACGTGCAAAACTGCGTGGAATGTTCTCAAACACCTGTGACGAGATGACGTAGGAAGAAAATCGAGGTGACAATGACAACGCAAAAAGCAAAGGAAATTACGACAAACTCCGACACAACACAATAGGGATTGCAATACGACATAGATTAAAACTAAAGGCGTGAGGGTGGCCTACAATGGTTCATATCTAGGCTATTTGTTAAGATAATGAAAAAGACGATGAAATACTAGAAAAAATACTCATTTGAAAAAGGGGATGCAGGTCTATGAGGGTTTTCATTTTGGAACACCAACAACATGTAAAAGTGATTAATAAAAAAACCTTTATAATGAACCTTAAAGCATTAGTAGTATTGTAGGAAACTTAGAAACTGAAGACGACATTGAGACACAGCGGGAAAGTCTACACTTATGCATAAGATAACTAGAAAAATGGCTTGATCCGGGGCCGTAAATTTGCGAGTACGTGAACATTAGCTCCAGTGCAGGCCACAGTGCCTTCGATGGCCGTGGCGAGAGCTCACTGGAGTGAACGTGGGGTGGAAGGGGGGGATGATGACACAAGCGACACGCACTCTCCGAGGATTAGCCGCCGCTCTCGACAGCCGGCGCCGCGCACTTCGGAAAAGGAGGAGAAAGGGGAGAGACGGGAGAGAATTGGGGTCTCTGGAAGTGGAGGAGATTTGGGGATCGGGGGAGAAATTGGTGGATGGAGAAGAGTTGGGAGTTAAAGAAGCATCTGTGAGCGCACGAGAATTGTAGAGACTGGCAAAAATTGAAAGTGAGGTGAGAGTTGTGGAGTCGGGTGAGAGGTGTGGGGAGGTGAGAATTGTGGGTGCGTGTGAGAGTTCTGGAGTCGAACGAAATTTGTGGGAATGGGCAGAATGGAAGTACAGGAGGTAGGGAAAGAGGACAAACGGGAAGACGAGAGAGAAGAATGGGAGGACGGGAGAGATGAATGGGAGAACGGAAGAGAAGAATGGGCGAACTGGCGAGAAGAATGGGAGGACACGAAAGAATACTAGGAGGACGGGAGAGAAAATGGGAGGACGGAAGGGAAGAATGGGAGGACTGGAGAGAAGAATCGGAGTATGGGAGAGAAGACTGGGAGAACGGGAGAGAAGAATGGGAGGAAGGGAGAGAAGAATAGGAGGATGGGAGAGAAGAATGGGAGGACGAGAGAGAACAATGGAACAACGGGAGAGAAGAATGGGAGGACAGGAGAGAAGAATAGGACGGGAGAGATGAATGGGGGACGCGAGAGAAGAATGGGAGTACGGGAGAGACAAATGGGAGGACGTGAGAGAGGAATGGGAGGGCGGGAGAGAAGATTGGGAGGGCAGAAGGAGGAAGGGGCCGGGGCGCGAGGCGGCGACGGGCGCATCCGAGCGCGACGCCTGACGCGCCCCCTGGGCTTCACTCCGCCGGCGCTTGTGGCGGCTTTGTCTGCGCGGATGAGTGCTGTTTTGTTATTGATTCGCTCCTCGGGGCCGAGGAAGGGAGCGGGCCTCACCACGTGTTATGGCTGTTTTGACGTGTCACTGCCTTTCGAGGTGAAATGCTCGGTGTCATTAATAATGTCAAAATGAAGTGGGTTAAAAATTTGACCTTTATTTGAACACATTAACAGATGAAATTTGTAGTCCGGTGATAATAGAAAGTACCGTAATTTTAATTAATTTGATGATCCAATTCCATCCACCTTTTCAATCATACCTACCGTTCGTAGTTCAGTTTGTAGGATGTCACGCAACATTTTATATAATAAAATAATTCCCAAATCAGCTAATGTAAACTTAATCCTCAGGGAGTTAAACAAAGATAGTTCAGTTTTACGATAAAAGTAGGATTATTTGAAGGAGCTAAAACAAAAAAAAGTCGTATGTAGAAATTAATGAATGAAGAAAAAGGATCGATCAATGAATTATTCGCATGATCATTCATCTTTTTAGGTAATAATTAGAAGTCAATGGTCAGCCAACAAAAGGTAGTATCTGATTTCTTTAAAATATTCTGTGATTGAGTAGGAAAAGTAATAAACACTGTTGTTATAAAATTATGTAATAACTACAAATTTGTGAATCTATGAATATAGCTGAAATGCATCCAAAAACATTTTATGCTAAATTAAATATTTATGATTGAACTACACTTTATGTTTCATTTTCTGAGGACGATAACATCAGATGTCCCGCCCTACTTTCCACTAAATACTGTCCTGTAACCACGCTACAAAGTGCCCAAGGTAAATATTCTAAACTTGATGATAAACTGCGTTAGGCATACGAGTTCGCGGTAGGACTCTGCAAAGCAGTGGCAGTAGGTTAGCTATTTCCATTTGAGAACTTACAGGGGTAATTAACCCCTTCTCGAAAGTATGAGTATAATGTAGTTTAATTTTTGCAATTGTTGCTCCAACTATTATATTCGTGTACCTGGATGAATGTCACGAAATAATTTCAGAAATCCCAGTACGCTTCTCTTGCAGATGTAGCTACGTGAAAAAGATTCAATAAAATTCATAGATTCGTTTTTAAAATACTATGGTTACGCAAATTATTGAATTCAGATTTAGACGTTTAGTACACATGCATACCATTAGTACTTTGGTGTTTATTTTGCTATTGCAGTATGCACAGACATAAACATTTTATTTACTTTATAATTGGTTACAAAGCATATATATATATATATATATATATATATATATATATATATAATCGAGAATAATTAACATTCCAGTAATTATTTGCTATGTGAATTGAAAATAATTATGTTATCAAAATATGTTTGGAGTGAAACAAGAGTCTTGCAGTGGCCGGGACTCACCGTGCGTGTGGCTGAAGTTGGAGTCGAGGTCCAGCTTGTCGTCCTTGTCGGAGAGCTTGTCGTGGCGCGGGGAGCCGCCGCCGCCGCCCTTCATGGAGCGGAAGTACTGGCTCCAGCGCGTGCGCCCCGCGTCCTTCTTCAGCCGCTTCTCCTTCGCCCGCCTACGCACGTCCACCGCCACTCAACTCCAGTCCACTCATTTGCCCACGCCACTCGCACCTTCAATACACTTATTCACTACCATTCAAACCTCAAATCCACTTATTCGCCACCAGTCACACCAGAATTCAAGAAGGCCTCAATTCCCTTATTCGCTACCACTCAAATCTCATATCCACTTATTCGCCACCAGTCACCCCTTCAATTCACTTATTCGCTACCACTCAAATCTCAGATCCACGTATTCGCCACCAGTCACCCCTTCAATTCACTTATTCGCTACCACTCAAATCTTCCACCCTCTCATTCTCCATTGCGTACATTTTATCAAATCCCACCTTTGAAGAAATATCGACACAAATCTAAATTAATGAATTGTAGAAATAAAGAGTTTAAACTTTGCAGGCTTGCACCATAAGCGGCAATGTCATAAAGCCATATTTGCCTTAAAAAAAAGAGATAATTGGAGTCCCGTATTGAATTCTCTAACGTGAGTTGAATTTTAGGAAAACTGTGGTATTAATAACAAATATTTACATTTACGTCATGTGGTTGGTGCGAACTTTTCTCAGCACATTCTTAGCTTAGTATTTAATTAAGAAAAAAATAGTCGGGCATTCATGAGCACAGGTTTATCCTTACTCGAGTTTTAATGCATAAAAGGTAAAATCACGTAAAAACTGATATTGGTTTGCAAACGTTGTGAAATGTTTATTGTTCCCTTATCTAGGTTTACTAATTAAATTTATCACTATTTTTACTGAAATTATACCACTCTGTCGGCCGAGACACAACTCAAACCTTCATCCTTTATAACAGAGCGACACAAATTGTGAGAAGTTTCATTTCCAACTACTGACATATTTTATTTGGCCAATTTCTTGTTAGTATATAAAGACTTAGTATATGTTGAGTAATTATTAAAAGCTAACGAAAAGTTTGTTTTAGATTCATACGGTAAATTTATGTTAATTAGTGTACAGAATATCTATATTGGAAATATGTTAAATGTTTGAACTTGATTCAATTAAAATACTCATTCTTTTGAAACTTCGTTAGTGTATTTCGTTACGTATAATTTATACAATCACCATTTGAAATTATTTACTTTATATGGTTATTATAATGAAGCGGAAAAGAAAAGAGCACACGATTTTCCACATATAAAACGAATTGTTACTTTTAATTTTGTAACTATATGCAATTTATTGACATTTTTATTTTGTAATTGTGCTCAGGATCAACGTCTTAAACAATATACGAGTGCACAACAAATTACAATTATTACAAAAAAGGAGGCCAGGTTATGATATAAGACGCAAAAACAAAAGAAAATCCAAAATAAACAACGTAACGAGCCTGAGAGAACGCATTTCTAGAATTTCTAGCACTGTATGGGTAATTATTGGCGACAAGCCTCATCGCCTGTAACGCTGAACTTTGACCGCTCCCCTCCAACCCTCCTCACTTTGCTTCACACCACTTCTTACACCGCTTCACCTCCTTACACCGCCCTGTTCCTCTTCACTCTACCCGGCTCCTCTTCGCTCAATCCGGCTCCTTTTGTCTCCATCCATCCCCGCCCCCTCTTTGATCCCTCTTAAGTCCTTCCCTTCACCTATCGTTCTTCATTCCACACTGCCCCTCTTCAATACATCTCCCTTCATTCCTCAGTCCCCTTCTTCATTCTACCCCGCCTCTTTCAATCTATGTACTTTGCTTCCGTGTTATCTGTGCTATCCGGGACAAACCGCATCTCTTGTGATGGCTGTCGTTTCGGCCAAGACGTTGTGGCCTTCCTCATAGCGTACAGCTGCTGAGAAAGTTAATCAAGTACAGCAGTAGAACGCTCAGAGGAAAGCTACAGTCTGTTTGCCGAAACTTAAGCCACCACGACAGGGACGCGGCTCGTCCCGGATAGCCTAAACAATACAAACTCCGGCCGCGGAAGCCTATGCAGTAACACCTCGATCCTTTTCACTCCATTTGTGTTTACTCCTCTCCGCCTCTCCTTAAACGACCCCGCTCCTCTTCAATTCATACAGCTTCACACAGTCTGGCTTCTTTTGTCTTCACTCCACACCTCCTCTACACTCCACACCACCCCGCTTCATTCCGCCCCACCGCCTTTCAATCCACCTCGCTCCCTTTCGCTACACTGCATCCCTCTTCACCCTACTCCACCTCTCTTCATTTCGCGCCGCGTCACCCCTCCCCGCTTCATGCCGCCCATTCCTCTGACATTTACCTTACACTTCGTCATTTTATCCCACCCCTCATCACTCCACCCCGCACTCCTACGCCTCGCCCAACTCTGCCCTGCAGGCTCTGCTATGCTTGCTTCTCTCCGGCGCAGCCCCCGGCACCATGTCTCTCTCCACCTCGACCCTCCCCCTCACTCCACTCCTCCCCTACCTTCCCAGGGTTCTCCAGCCCGTGCACGCACCGTGAATAATAAAAGCGACCCGCGGAGCCACGGCGGTGGTAGCGCCGTTTGACGCACCGCTCTGCGCTGCCCTCGCCGCCCTCGCCGCCCTCGCCGCCCTCGCCGCCCTCGCCGCCGGCACCGCCGCGCTGCCGCCATCTATCTTCCGCGTCCACCCCCGCCCCGCTCGTCTCCCGCAGCCCCACGGCACGGTGCGGCGCGGGCCTCGCTGCTGCCTTCGCCGCCGCCGCCGGGCGTTCTTTTCTTCGTTTTTGCGGAGCCGGCTCGGTTCAATTTGCTGATCACCCCGCTCCGCTCCGCCGCTCCCCTCCCGCACCGCCGCGCCGCGCCGCTCGCCCGCCCTTTCCGTAGCCGCGCTCTGGATTTTTCAAAAAGTCCCTCGGGACAAGCAAAGGGAAAAAAAGGGAGCGCGCGGCGGTGGCGGCGGCGGCGGCGAAGAAAACGTGAAAGATGGCAGGAGGCCCCGGACGGGGCCGCTCGCGGCGCGACGCGGCGGGGCGAGGGCGCGGCGGGGGCGGGGACCGGTGACGTATCGGAGGACGACCAATCAGGTGGCGCGCCGTGCGTCTCCGTCAAAAGAAGCCCTATCTCTGGTGGAGGGCGCCGCGGATGCGGGACCGCCCCCGCATGGAAGCCGAGAGCGACGCTGCCTCTGGACCCCCAACGCCCCCCCGCTCCGCCCCGCCCCCTGGCGGCTTCGTCGGGACGAGTGACGTTGGGGGGAGGCGTCCCGCTTCTCTCCCCGATGTCCCCCCGCCCCGTCTCCTCCGCAGACGGCTCTTCACGGTCGCCCACGTTTCCACAGCAGCGGCTTTTTCAGGGCCTCCTTCCTTCCCCGCACAGCGATCTCAGTCGCCCTGCTACACGCACTGTTCTGCCCCTGGATAGACGCGAGTGTGGGTGCTCCGGATGAACCAAGATGTAATATATACTAATTTTCATTACAATCACATTAAAATCACATTTAAAAGTTTCACATTTTCTTTTCTTTCTCATACATCACTAACGATTGACTGACGATTTTTTTCTTCATTATTTGCCAATGTCTCATTAAAGTTTAGAAGTTTGGATCAAATATTTTGCTTATACATTTTCTTTAGACTCTGGCAATACTTTATTGTACTAACTATTGACGAACGTCGAAGTTACGAAAATAAAGCTTCTGAACACAGCTTTATTGAAAACAATTGCTGTGAGGGACAAAGTGAAGTCTTGGCAATACAACTAAACTTTTGTTACTTCTTTTGATAATTTGGGTTACTTATGAAAAATGCATGAAAAAGAAGATATGAATTTAATGTCACTTCATTGGGAAATTTATAACCCAATTTAATGATAGTACGTTTCTTTAAAACCGAATCATTAAGAAATACAAAATAGATTATTTGCATAGAAGTATAGATATGAACATAGTGAAATGAATCTCTTTATAAACATTTCCAGCAGAATGCAAAACAACAAATATGACACATGTCACTTTGTTTCCAATTTAAATTTGTATTTTGTTGGTAGTTATCAAATATTTATGAGTTTAAGTTCTTCATGATTACCCGAAAACATTGTTTTGATTACCCGAAACATAAATTGTTTAACTAAGAAAATATTATAATCATTAAAAACTCATCCAATAGTTACATAACACAACGTAACTATTAAAATATTAAAATGCGTTGGTTTTAGTGAATAATTAGCGTAGGGTGCCTGTTTGAGATCTAACATTATCTGTAGAAATTTACAAGTGCACCCTCCCGCAAATGTAATCAGCACGCGTATCTTTCATGGGTGGTGATTGATTTTACCTTCATATAGAAGGAAACCGCGATTTTAAGTAATATTTATATTACAATATATTACAAATATTGGTGATGCAGAAGCCAGGGTAGTATTCAAAGTTACTTTTAAAAAGCAGCAGGTTCAAATCCCAGTAAAAATGTAGTGGTTTTGCACCGTGTGGTTGCTCTCTACTCTCCCCATGTCGCCCATATGAACATCATCGCCTTTGAAATCATTTTTCTATCCTCACCATTCACACATCATGTTCATCTTGACATTCACTCATCCATCACATTCAGTACTTTGAATGCCAAAAGCAAACCATTACTATAATCACTGCCCTTGGAAATTAAAGACTGCAAAGGAGTAAGCCATCTCCCGTGTCTACATACAGAAATAGAGTTGCACAAAAATTATCAATTAGATTCCGCCACCACAATCATTATCGAGAGTAGATTGACAAAAAGTCAGTGACAAAGCCAAAATGAATGCTAAATTAATCGTAAAAACAAAAAAATTCTTGAAAGGAGTTGGGATCAGCACTGAAAACATGTCACTGAAAGGTTTTCTGCAAAGAGATCATTCCAATCAAGGAATTAAAAAAAACGACAGAAAAAAATAGTTGCTAACCTGGTCAGAGGTAGCTTGAGGTAACAACCAAGAAATATGGATAAAGAATAAAAGAGAAAAGAATATTCCTGAAGCTCTTTTCAAGTTTCACAGGAACCCAAGTTCGAAAAATAAGATGAAGAAGTAGTGTTTGATTTTAAAGGAGAATTAGGATCATATTTAGAATTAAAATTTTAAAAAGGGGATTTGAATGGGAAAAATTAAGAATGGAATTGTAGTTAAAAAGAGAAATACAAATATAGTTGAAATTAAAATGATTTAAATTGGAATTTAAATAGAAAATTACTTAACATTCGAATACCATTATTGAAAAAATAATAGCAATTGAAATGAGGAATAGAATTAGAACAGGAAGAAAGATAATGATAACAATTGAAAAGTAAGTATAATTAGAACTACAATCGCAGAAACAATTACCATTAGAATTGGCTGTGAGAAAATAATTAAGATGAGAATTTGAAGATTAAAAAAGTAATTAGAATTAGAATTGAAAAAATAATTGATTGAAATTGGAAAGAAGAATTAGAATTTTATTGAAAGAAAGATTACGATTGCAATTGGAAAATAATTTGGATTAGAATTGGAATGGGAAAATAATTAGATTTCGAATTGCAATTACAAAAAAAGTAAAGTTAGAATTGGAAAAATTTAAGTTAGAATGAGAACTAATATTAGAATCGGATTATTAAAAAAGCTTAAGATTAGGATTACAACAGGAAGAAAGAGTAGTGAAATTGTCGTAAGAAGCCGGATTGGACTTTAGAAGGCTCACCTGTTCTGGAACCAGACCTGCACGACGCGCATGTCGAGCCCCGTGTCCTGCGACAGCTGCTCGCGCACGTGGCGCGCGGGCTTGGGGCTGTTGTTGTAGGCGAGCTTGAGCGTCTCCAGCTGCTTGGCGGTGATGGTGGTGCGCGGCCGCTTGTTGGGCTGGTCCCCGTCCAGGCACGCGCCATCTGCAACAGCGCCCCCGCCGCCGCCTGCGCTCCATCGAGCCGTCCTAGCGCTGCGCCGCCACGCCCCCGCGCCCCTCGCCCTCGCCCTCGCCCTCGCTATCACTATTACTATTACTATTACTATTACTATTACTATTACTATTACTATTACTATTACTATACTTTACTATTACTATTACTATTACTATTACTATTACTTTTACTATTACTATTACTATTACTATTACTATTACTATTACTATTACTTATATTACTATTACTATTACTATTACTATTACTATTACTATTACTATTACTATTACTATTACTTTACTATTACTATTTACTTACTATACTATTACTATTACTATTACTATTACTATTACTATTACTATTATATACTATTACTATTACTATTACTATTACATTACTTTACTTACTATTACTATACTATTACTATTATATTATATTACTATTACTATTATACTATTACTATTATATTACTTACATTACTATTACTATTACTTTACTATTACTATTACTATTACTATTACTATTACTATTACTATTACTATTACTCATTACTATTACTATTACTGATTACTATATTACTATTACTATTACTATTACTATTACTATTACTATTACTATTACTATTACTATTACTATTACTATTACTATTAATATTAATATTATTATTATTACTATACATTTCACCACCTGGTACAGTTGCAAGCTTTAAGAATTTGTGATCGAATTTCACACACAAAATTACTTGAATGAATGGATTTTATTTTAAAATTTGTATATACAACAATTGAATAAAATATATATTCATAATAAAACACAAATACTACTCTACATACTAATATATAATCATACCTTACTATATTTATGAAACATACTAACCCTATGTTCTCTAATAACCACCTCACCTTATCTCGAATATTCCACCTTGCCTACATCTTCCTTTCCAAAAATTAGGTGACAAAAGCATAGATAAGCGACAGAAGGATTTTGATGTGAATGAAACATGATTGTAAATTATTTTCCAATAGAACCTTCCTAGGAACAACTCGCTACCCCTTGTACCTTATAGCCCAATATTGCCCATATGTCGCGCTGCCCAGTAAAATCAAGCCGGGTCTGCCACGCCGGCCGGCGATAAACAGCACATTAAACAAATGAAGCGCGCGCAGCGCTGTCCGCCATGAAGCCCCTGCTGCGGCCGCTCTGATATATCGGCGCAAAAACCGTTCGCATATCGTGTTGCACTGTCCGCGGAACGCTGCTTGGCTCGTTTGTCTCCATTTCGCCGAAGCACTCCTCCCCCCGTCTGCCACCAGCGGTGGAGCCACAACCCACCGCCGCCCTCGCCCTCCGCCGCCACCCTTGTCCCCCTGCCGTTCCCAACGCCCAGTTTCACCCACCAAGCCCTGTCCCAGCCCTCGTCCCGCCTCACCCCTCCCTCGTCTGCGCCCTGCGACCCACTCTCGTCCTCGTTCCCACCTCGCCTGCGCCTTCGAGCGCGCATCGTCCGCGCCCTCGCCCCCGTCCTCTTCCCGCTCTCGTCCCTGCCGTCGTCCCCCACCCTCACTCATGTCCCGACCCCCGCCCTCGTCCCCGCCCTCGTCCACGCCCTGGTCCACGCCCTCGTTGCCACCCTCGCCCCCGCCCTCGTCCCCTCCCTCGCTCCCGTCCTCGTCTCCGTCCTCGACGCGGCCTTCACCCTACCCCGAAGGCCGACTATTGCCGGCACAGACCGCAGGCGCCGCTCTGCGAAGGGATCGCGGCCGGCCAGCCCAATATACAGTATACAGACGAGGGTAGCGCGTGTCTCTATTAGAAAATGCGAATTTAATAACTCGATGGCTCACGATGTTTCCGACATGATGCTTTTTCGCACATTGACACATCCCATTTTTTATTGGAAAAGAGGTATCGCTCGAAGTGGGAAATTCGAAGGTGAGAGAACTATTAGTTATTTTTTTTGTAATATTCACATTTAAATGATATAAGAAATGCTAATTATTATTGAGAAGAAATTTTTTAAGTAATGCTGGATTCGAGAATAAAGAATAATGGCAATTTGATAAAAAAGTATTTTCAGAATATGATAATTTCTTACGGTTGATATTCTGAAAGCAACTACACACAACGTGCATATACGGGTGAGTTTATATGATTTCTGAGATTTATCTGATTTTAATTTCTTTAATCTTAATAGATCATTGATAAAAAAATATATTTTTTTATTTACGACTTCATGTTGTCGTCTCAGAAATTACATTTTTATTAAAAAATGTTGATGCGGTTATTTTCATAAAAAATGAAAACAGTGAATTGCATGCTTGTATTGAAATGTTTTTTAAGAAACAAATATTGAACAAATTTAGAAACAATGAAAATAATTTATCACGGAAAGATTGGATCTAATAGTCTGCCTGTGCGGTCGTGAATTATAAAACAACGGTACCTCAGATGGTCTACTCGTGAGAGAGAAAAAAGTGAATGATTAGAAAGCCCAAACCTAGGAAATATTTGAGTCAATTCTTCGGTTCAAGACACAAAATATTTGAGAGGTCTAGTTTCATAATGAGACGTTTTCATTCTTCTCTGTTTTGAGAAAATTCAGAAAATTTGTTTTAAACATTCAGTTGCTAAATGTTTGGTATTAATGCTCGTGGCTAGAGAAAGTAAAAAAAATATTATAAGATAATTGAAGAATGGCTAATCATTATGAAGAACGCTGAGGTAAAAAGTTGGAAAAGTCTCATTTTGAGATTTAATTGAATTTTTTTTTGACATTTTGGATGAAAACTTTTTTCGTGAATCGAAACTGGTTTTCATTAAACATTTTTACAAGAGTATCGTTTTCTTTTGATTTTCTTATTTCGTTTGACATTGTTCTTCAAATTGAAGATCAGGAGCCTCTAACTACTGACTTACATAATACTCGTCATTGTCAGAATCAGCTTGGTGAATGCTTAGACCAGTTAATTTCTATATTCATTTCAATTCTCTATTTTCATTTTGACATAATACGGTGCCAAAACATAGTGACACAAGAATCTCTAAAGACTGAATTGCAAAGGTCCTACTTTGCAACGAAATTAATATTATGGAAAGGACGCTTTCTGATATTAACACATTATTATAAAGTTCTCATAAGTGAACAAAAACACGTTTTGTTACAAATAATTTTATAGAACGTCTAACAGAAACGGATCCTTATTGAAACCAGTATCTCATTTTTTTAACGAACGTGGAAAAGTCGAGTTTGATACTAGACCCCTCATTTAATGTTGTCATTATTGTGTGTTTTCGTTGTTACAATGAAATAATTATATGAGTCGGTGCCAACAGTATTGTTTATTACAATCCCCTCATTTAAGAAACGTCAGTATGCTTACTGTTCAAACAGGTATAACATGACTACACCAACGGCTCAGGGACGTCAGTTTTCGAAACTAAATACTGCATAAAGCGTTATTATTGTTCACATGATAATACAATGCAGAAAAGAACGACTGTATCTTAGAATTCATCAATTAATAAAATAAACATCAGAGGAAATAAAATTGATTGTGTATGAAAAATAAAAAAAGGAAAAGTTGAAAAATTGTACTAGTAAAGTAAATGTGAAAATTTAGTGACAAGACAAATAATAAAATCTGTGAAAACCTGCCAAAAGCATTGACGTGTATCCTGCACTATATATGATATGCCCAAGATTTGAATAATGGTATCTGGCGGTCGAAGATAAATACTCCGGGCAGTACACATTGGGTGGTATAAAAAGAGAGAAAACGCCAAAATAACGCAGATATATACGCGTAGTGAAAATGTGTGGCGCTCGTACATTCACATTCTGTTTGCGAAATTTTCCTGACAGGTGTCGCGTCGGTCGCTGGGAGACTGGCGCCCTGCTGCCTTCATTCTCGCTCCTGAACCATCCCCCCCCCTCCCCCACCCACACACACGTACACACAGCGCGGGCTCATAGGGCTCCAATTCCATGACGGGAACATTTGTCACCCCGTTGCAAGTGAGCTGTGTTCTTTCCGAATACCTGGCGGACGGTTTGTGAATGTTGACGCGTCTCGATGACATGAATCAAAAGGAAAATACGACAGCATGTGCGAACTGCAGTTCGTAAATCCTTTTATTAGCGTTGCATGTGTGAAGAACGTTTCTCCATCGTGTATTCTTTTTTCGGATTTTTTTAGGACATGACCATGTTTTGTAATGATAACACAATTTTAAACAAACAGTGGCCGAAATGGAGATTAAAATTGGAGGTAATCTTTGTAGATAAATGGACCTAAAATTGAATTTACATTCCATTTTTGACAATAACAAAACACGAAACTAGAAAATATGCCCATGATTTGAAATTCAGATCATTGATTCATATTTAAAAAAGTGTATGAAAAATTAATGTATATGAAAAGTGACATAAAGCCTACAACTTTTATTATTGTGAAAAGTTATAATATCATCATTACATTACATTGCTTTGATTCCATAAGCTGAAATTGCAAGGCAGTTTTCAAACATTAAGTTAATTATTTTGTAGGTGACGAAACTATTTGAATAAACCCACTAAACGATCGTTCCCTAACTGAAGTGCTTTCTGTGACGTAGTTTTCTATTATTTATTTTCCTGTAACCGTGAATATCTGTAAAGGCCCTGCATTGTAAAGAAAAAACGCAGTCACAATTTTATGACGATTTCTATCAGTAATGCAATTTTAAATTAGAATTGAATGACTCTTTGAATCACAAATGATGAGCAAAATTTCAAAAACGATTAGACGTAACGGTTTCTTACCATAGTATAGTTGCCTTTTTAGACTATTTTTGATAAGTTCCTCATATTATTGCGTTTGATTCACGAACAAATCGGAGAGTATATGTTGATCAAGATATTTTTTAGAAAAAGGTTTGTATGTTAGTATTGCATCAAATTTAATCACATATTAAATGTTGGTATGAAATTAGCAAAAGTATCCTTATGATTGAAAATTAGAGAGGAAAAAGCATTAAAACTTTTGTTGGTCTTCAAGGGGAACTGTGCATTATGCGTCGCCGTCCTATAGTATTCTTCTTTTTTGCCGAACTACAGCATAAACTTATTACTACTTATTATCACTTAATCCAGAATAACATTAACTACACTAAATTAATGAATACAAATAACAATGAATGTACTTATTTCAGAATTACATTTACTACACTAAATTAATGAAAACAAAGAAGATTAATAAATAGAAGATTAAATAGAATAAATAAGAGAAAGAATAATTATGCGACTGAATATAAGAGGAAATGAATAACTGAATGAATGAGTGAGTGAGTGATGGAGTAAAAGAACCAGGAGGAGAGCGTGAGAAAAAGGAAGCAACGCCGGCTGTACCTTTGCTCTTGGCGGCCTCGTAGTCGGGCTTGCAGACGAGCTTGCGGTCCTCCATGAGGTAGAACTCGTCGCCGGTGTTGAGCTGGCGCGCGCAGATGACGCAGGCGAAGCACTGCAGGTGGTAGACGTGCTCCTGGGCGCGGCGCACCACCTGCGTGGGCGGGATGCCCTGCTCGCAGCCGGCGCACTTGGTGCCGTACCGCCTGCACCCACCGCCCCCGCACGCGCTCATTACCACACCCGCGGACGCGCATGCGCACGCGCCGCCCACTCACGCTATGCAAGCCTTTCGGCCACACCATTGGGTGCGGCAACTGCTACGGCCATTTTGGGCCACAAGTGTTGTTCTACTAATGGCAAGAAGCGGTGTTGGTTTCCCTGTTCAATGGTGAGATTCGGCGCCGACCTAAACGTCCACTTGCCTATGTACGCGTAAGCTTCCGCGGCTGGAAGCCATAAATTCTCGGCTACCCGGGAGACGCCGCGTCGTTGGCTGGGTTTCGCCTGACATGTCGCGGGCTTCCTCAGGGCAGGAAGCCTGCGACATGTCAGGCGAAACGTCGGCACCCCAGCCAACGACGCGGCGTCGCCCGGGTAGCCGAGAATTTATTGTCGACTTGCCTGCTTTCCGACTCCGCAAATCTCACCCAGGGGACAACCGTCCCAATCGGGACAAACTCTTGACTGCTCTCCGGACATGCGTGTTATTTTTCTGCTTCGAAGTGCAGATGTGTGTAAGTATGAGGTGAGGAGAGAAAAAGGAAGATGAAGGAAAGATCGCGTGCTGTCTATCGAATCACTCTTGCGGTGTTCGCCTAATGCTGATCGGAGAAACCACGGAAAACTGCCGATAAGGGCAGCCGGCCGCCAGAATTCTCCTCCAAACAGTGGTTGAATACGATCCTACTTTTTTGCTTTGGTGGAAAATCCACCATTGTCGTCAAACCTCACAACCTAAAGTTAACGATGCTAAGAGACGTCGGTTCTATTGATCGATCGCAGTTGATCGTCCTTTCAGATGTTCTTTCCAGAACGTACACCTACGAACTACAGAAATTTGTGAATTTTGTTTTTCCCGCTAGAGCAACAAGCACTACCCATGTATTTCCAATTTCTTATTACTACACTAACTGATTTCATAGCGCTACCAATAATATATTAGTGCGATGGGAAAATTGTGTATTCAAATATACCGACTGCTTTAATGATTCCAAAAATATTTTTTGCAACAAAATTAAGTAACCTTTGCAAATTTAAATTACCTACCTATATTCTGTATTTCTAATTACTTTCATTGTATTATATAAAGTTACATTTTCTACCAAGGAATTTTTATTCTAATAAGAAGATTAATTTCTCTCTTTCCATTTCAGGGGAAGCTATATCTCCCGCCATACATTTAGAAACCTGAATTTGCAATGGATTTATAGATCCAGATTCCAAAAACTGTTAAGGAAGCCCGTATTTGATAACCTGTCTTGCGCTTGTCATCGTCACGTTGGTTCCACGACCGGCACTGCCATGAGAACAGTACGATAGCGATGGATGAGGTATGGGAGCTACGCTCGGCCAGGACAACCGCGCGCTGCCAGTGGCAACAGCACGTGTAATTCCGGCTACTGCGATACTGTTTCGGAAAACTATACCAATAGCAAATGAGATACAGCAAACGAGCCAAGGTTATTTAACAGCCTTTATGCAAGGGTACTGACGAGAAGTAGAGGTCTCGCTCCTCTGAGCTCACAGATCTTTGTCTCACATGTGCAACACTTTGTGGTAATTCATTCTATTACCACTTGCGTTAAACAATTCATACCAATATTAATACGATATAATGTTTTCAGAAACATAGTGATAAATATTCTGATGACTTTTGAACAAACTGAGTGTTGACACCGAATAGAGTGTGAATGTATTGATCAAATTCGAGGTAAGTTGATAATAAAACTACGTAATTAGACATTCAGCGGTACAAGGCATTAGATGACATTACGTTGTGGCGGTATTAAATCTTTTCATTTTCGTAAATACAAAATTCATAAAGAAAAATATATTGTGAGAATGAAATTTCAGAAGGACGCTGGAGGAAAATTTAACACACCTAAATATGTCATATGTGTATGTTGTAATGCATAAACATTTTAATTTGGCAAAGAAAAAAACTCAACATTTTGAAACATTTTTGGAATTTAGATTAACATTAAATGGGCAAGTATCAAGTGACTTCAAGATGTTAGTAAATCAGTGAAGCTTTGAAAATCTTTACTGCTAATAAAGAACTAATTTGAGAATAAACAGAGTTCCAGATTTATTAGTTATGTTCTCGCATACACACAAATACGTACTGCTGCTGTTATAATAAATTATGCAACAGAGTTAATATTTTTAGAAGTGTTGCTATTTAGCAGGGAACATGTAATCATTTACGTTTTCAAACTTTCTTCGATCTCCTTGAAAAAGTATATCCACGGAACCTTATGTTTAGGGAGTCAGTCCAACGGAAGACCTAAGACCTGTTTCCGAAATGTATAATGTATTAATATCTAGAATGAAGGAAATTTATTGAATGATCCAAATACCCAAGATTACTCTGGGGAAATACCGCTGAATGGAAATTCCAAATGCCATGGGAAATATAACGAGAGTGAGACGATGATATCACCGTTATACCAAATAATTATTCAGCTTTCCGTCCTTTCATTTTTGCACATAAATTGCAGAGTACTGAATGAGAAAAATTTTGTTGACTGAATATTTCGTAGTAATTTGTAATTAATATGACGAGAAAATAATTCTATCGGCCTGAGTAGTCGATGTCGCTAAGACTGGAGGGTCGTAACTGCCTTGGCTCGTAGAGTCCCGTGTTCAAATCCCGCCTCGGACACGGATGTTCGTGTGTGTTGGTAATGCCCTTACACTTTCTTCTTACAGTTCCCCCTAAAGTTATAACATTTGCAATGGTCGCTATAAGGTGATAAAAAACGACCTTAAAAATGTTTAAAAAATGAAGTAATTTGAACAAAATCTAACATTTCACCAAAATTTAAGTTTATGGAATATAGAATATCATTCTTCACATATCATACCGCTATATACGCCATTTTTTTCTGAATATACGAGAACAGATCTTTCTCCAATCGTTCCATTTTGTTTACATTAATTTTCTAAATATACGTAATCATTTACATTTCATTTTTCTTTCCCAATATCTTCCTGTTTGTAATTCAGTTGTACACAATAACCATGAGATGAATTAATAAAATGTTTTTTTACTCTATTTGCTTACCAAATAAATGTTTATGCATCAGTCTTTTGTGAAAATAAAGAAGGGATGGGATCAAGCTTTTGCTGTAACTCAGCTAATTCAGTATTACTTATTACGATTTTTTTAAAATAATTCCTCAATAATAATTTATAAATATTATTTTTGAGATATTTGCCAAATTGTTTAATTATTGTACACTTTATTGAACATTTGATAATCAAAAATTGGATCTTCTCATGCAAGATGCTATATGAGAAAATATTATCTAAATAATATGTTCAAATATTTATGCCATTTTATTACTAATTTTATTTCCCGTCACTTTCAGAAATATGAGAAAGATAAGTTACACATTATATCCGGAGAGCCCTCAACCAAAATGTATCGCCAATTTCAAGAAACTGCGTGGGCATCAATTCTAAGAAATTCATCACAGTGAACGTCGTTGCAAAGTAGCCTCTCAGCTACATCAGATTCTCACATGATACGAGTATATCAAAGTAGTGTAATGGCGAATAGATAGGCTCCCGTTCTTTAAATACCAGTCTGAAACCAGTCATTCAACAACCTCAGACTCCCTCTCTCTCTCTCTCTCGGCTCCAAACAGATTGTCTTCGTCTATACTAACTTTTTTCAATGGAAATCATCCTCACAATTTTTAATGTTAAAGTTTGATTGCTAATGACTATTCTCTAGGTACATATACTATTTGCCAATATTTTTAATAAAAGGTCTTCCTTATATTGTGTTTTACTTGTATTGTCATACAATTGTTTGGTACAATTGTTTATTCGTATTGTTCAACTTATTTGTTTATACAATTAAGAATAGTACTCGATTAGAAGAGGAAAATTACGTTTCCTAGTCAATTTGTAATGGATTTTGTTAATTATTATAATGCTAAACTTCAAGAGAAATCATTAACACATTAAGAAGTATTTTTAAGAAACGACTTTTGCACGACGAAATAAAAGAAACATTAATTATGGGGACGACGAATTTTAAGGTGGGAGAGGAAAAAAAACAAAGAGGAAGAGAGCGGGGGAAAGATTTTCAACATTTTGTTTGGTCGAATGGCCTAAATTAGTGTGGAAGTGACATTAAGTGGCATGCATGCATTTGCATCGTGGTATTTGTTATAAACTTTTCTACGTTATTAAATTGTAATCAAATTGAAAAATTATGTTTGTGCATGTAATTGATTTGATTTGCCGCCCTCTCATACACATATTTTCTACTTTTAAAATTTATACTTAAAATGGAGTTCAATATTTTTCTATCTGTAGAACCCTTATTTCATATGCTCGCTTAGTTGCCATTTGCATGATCATATTTGAATTAAAATATTAGTATTTACAAAAAAATGTTTATCCCATTTTTGATGACAGTATTAGATTCAGGATCTTCAAAGAAATGTGTATATTAGGGTTTTTATTCGCATCTATTCTGCAAAAAATTGATTTTATTTCACAATCTAATTCTGTCCTCAATATCTGGGATTTAATAATATGAAATTCTAAACACTTTGAAAGAAATAACATGAATGACTTTATCATTTCTGGACAAATTGCATTCATTGCTTGAAAGCGATAAATGTATCTGTGTTTGCTTCAAGGAAAACAAATGTAAATATTAATAATTTTGCAGAATGGGTGATTTTCTTACATCATCGATACGGCAAAAGAATCGTAGACTAATGTAAAGTTCGATGAAATTACGAGATAAGATTGAATTTTGACATTGGCCTTTCTTGCACAGAAAGAAGAAATATTGATGCACACATTGGCCAGAGCAATAAAAAATCATTAAAAACTGACATTGGCTCTTCTTGCACCAAACCACAGATATCGTTTACTACGCCACGTCCAAACTCAGTTTCTTGAATTAGTTACTACTTGAATTAGTCTTACACACAGGGGTTAAAAAAAAGTACATGCAACTAGCGCACCGGGTGTTTTGCGTACGTATTACGTAACTTGCTATTTTTTAACAATGTTCTACGCAATCTTTGTGTGTTTGTATAATGTGTGGGGATGTGTAATGTAATACAATAGAGTTATGTAATTTAAAAATGTCTTAATTTCAACTAGTATTCTGAATATGTCCATTAAAACTTTTATTTAAATATTGGTTGAATTAAGAATGGTGTAAGAAATAGTGACATAAAAAACGTTGAAATAAAAACAATGATTGCATTGAATTAGTACCTAAAAATTTCAACGGAATAAGCGCGGGATATTCGGTACCTTCCGAAGGACCCACAATTCGGCTTGGCGCATGTGAGGGCGAGTGTGTGTGTGTGTGTGAAGGGAGGCGGGCTGCTTCGCGTACTCACTTGAAAAAGTCCTCCTTGCAGAAGACCTGTCCGTTTCGCGCGAAGCACTTGTCGCTGAGCTGCCCGGCGCACTCGCTGCACTTGAGGCACTTAGCGTGCCACGTGCGGTCCAGCACCTTCAGGATGAACCGGTCCAGGATCAGCTCCTGGCAGCCGCCGCACTTCGGGATGGTTGCTGCGACAAACAGCCATCCAGATCACAAATGGCGACAGGAGAAAAAAACGTCTAAAGAATACATGTGTGTGAAAAATCTCTTTCAGAAAATTATATAATACACAATGAATATAAAAATGGAATAGTTTTGTTACTTTTCCCCATTACACAGTGCGCCAAGAAAGTTCTCATTGACATCATGCTGGTGAGAGTGGTAGGAACACAGAAGTGTCGTAACTCAAAAAATAAAATCTTCAGGAGAGCTTTTGAAAGGTTTGAAATTGCACTATCAAATCATGTTTATGAAGTACAGACATCGCCAATAATTTACAAAAGTAGGTCTAAAAAGAAATGACAGAAGAAAGGACAAAAGATCATAAAATTTCACATTAAATAATGTACGTTACTCAAAATTTAATTTTTTTGAATTACGACACTTTTGTACTGGGGTGTTGGGTATGTTGATATGACGAGAAGTAGGAGGCGTTGGAGCCGTCTGAACAGGATGCAGAAGCAGCGGGGGAGGTGACGGCGCGCAGCGGACTCCAACGCCGCGAACAGCGAGCGAAACTGCGAGCGAAAGCGGAGACGCGCAGGCTCTGATTCGGATCGCTACGTAGACTCTTTCCTCGCGCCCTACACTATAATATAGGGAATAAAAGCATTTGAAATACCTCACCAATACCATCTCCAATTCAGGTGTTTTGTTCGTGTGTTTTGCAACCGAATTTTGTGGCCATTTACGCTCTAAGAAGGTGTAATTTGATTCATACGCTTGACAATAACGCTCTTGCGGGCTTGCGGGATATTTAATCTAGACCAGCTATCTGAACGCCCACCAAACCTGTTCGTTAACATTTTAAGTGATCACATTCTGTGTTTCATGGCTATTGTTTTCACACGCTCTCTACTGATGGTTAAGTACCGAAGATCATGTGACCAGTTTGAAAGTTAGTTATTCGAGTAGTCGAAAAGGATGAGAGGTTGTCAGTTGGCTAACTTTTAAACTTAAACTTATCTCGTGAAGATTTCGAATTATGAAACATTTGTCTGTCATGAAGTTATACATTTGAATAACTCATTATACAATAATAGATAAAATTATAAATAGATATATTTATTACATGTTTTTATTTCATAAACAAGGTACCTGATTTTTTCAGTGTATAACAGTTTGATAAACTTTATAAAACATTGATATGAGTCAGGATTTGTTCTATAATCAATACTCCCTCAAACATTAAAAAACTGTGAAAACGATCTTACTCATTCATAACTTACAAAATATTTTATAAAGTAATCCCTGGTATCCTGAAAAATGTATTAATAAAATCCTCAATTTTTCAGTAAGTAATACATTGATTGATAGTAAGTCACGATGAGTGAAGAATGTAAAAGAACTCTTAAGGTATTAGTAGCCTATTTTAGGCTTTTCAAAACGTTAAAGAGAAACACTAAAACAATATTTTGCTTTGAACAGACATATTATTCAGTGCTACCACATCTCATTTATAACATCTTTCAAAATGGCGGATTCAAGATGGCTAAGAACACGTAAGTCACACAGGGTTACACTTTGCACATATATTGATACTATTATATTGTCAGTGGAATGAAAAAAATATTTTGGATGCAATTCTTTAATCTCAAAAATACACTGCACCTCTTGATATTTCAAAACGCATATTATTTGAAATATCAGTACGTTAACTTGGATTGCCAAAAATAAGTGCATTCAGGGTCTCTTCAAAAACATATTTCAAAATATTTTTTTCAAAGATGAAACATTTTCTTTATCTACTAAATTACAATTGAATTATTTTCTTTTCTCTAGATTTTAAATATAGTTTAATTTCTATTAATTTTTATTTTTCTAACAAATGAGAAATTATGTCGAACTAGTTTACACCAAATCATTATCTTGCAATTTTGAAAAAGAAAAATGTAAAATATAAAAATATCTAAAATATTATAAGTAATATAGTCCGTCGTTTGAACGTACATGAGTGTGATAAACAAAAACACCTATAACAAGATAAATCTGTGGGATGTCAGGAAGCGCAAAATGGAAAAAAACTGACACCTTTGTTTTCTTGTATATCTCTTGTTATTACAATTCAGAAATAGCATAAATAATGTATTAGCCGAAACACGTTTAGAGTTGCTTATAATGTATAAGATAGTACATCGCCATAATTGATGATAAACAGTTTTAATTGATTTTATGGTCTGAAAAAATTAACAAAGCAATATTTTCCGAAGATGAATACGAGTATAAACAACATTTAATACTAAAAAAAATATTTGTCTAATCTCAACCAAAATATTCAATACTGTTAATAGTGTTGTTAACCACAAATAATGTTTCTTCTACATTAACATAATACTTGATAAAAATGAATAATTCCAACTGACGTTATAATAGAAAGTAATATCAGAAGTAACTCCGCCATTCTATGTTTGGTTAAGGCTTTAATAAATAATGTTTGTACTGTTATCATAGATCACCGACAAATATCCATTGCCATTGAAATAGAATGAATCCAATAGATATCCGTCTACAACAAATCTCCAAAAGAGCAGTCACACGGACCCCGTCTACGTGCGGCGAGCCCTTACATCGAAATACACTTTCAAAAGTCATAAATAATGTTATTGACAATGCATTTTATCATCATCAATAAACATATATTGCACTTGAAATAGAATGAGCGGAATAATCATGCGTCGACCACAAAATTGCTGAGTGTCAATATCAACAGAGAATAATACACCTGAGCAAATAATTGCAGTTGCCATTATTGTCAAGAGTTATTGTAGATGCAAGAGTCCAAACACGATTTCTAAAGTAATCAATTAAATTTGTATCAATGTACTATCGTCATAGTCATCGTCATATTAGTGAAGAATACCAGTTTCACTTTGTAGAGAAAAAACTCTTCGGAGAAGCACCAGGGCAGATGAGCCGTGCATGCATGCGATGAGAGCTCTTCTTTGCTACATTAATAGCTAACTAACGTCTTTGATCATGTTTAATCAAATTAAATCATCTGAAAATAATAGAGGTTGTACTAGTAATGAGCACTTGTAATGAGTCCCAAACTCGTGAGTGACCAGAGGCCACATGGGCATCGCCTGTGGCAACTTTCCAATCGTCACCGAAGGAAATAATATTAGTGGTAATGTATAATAGAACGCCTCCAAAGAATAAATCATAAATAGATAAGCAGCAAAGAATGTAAGTTTCAGATGGAATAGAATTGTATGTTATTTCTCACAGTTACAGAAGCAAAGAATGTTCGCGATAACGTAGCATCGTAATTCATTACTAATGAAGACTGTCAGTATCACGTGGAATCAAATGAATCATATGAATGTATAACAAAGATGCTTAATGACAGTATTTTAGGATAATGTATCATCGTCTGCAAAAACTGTCAGTAACATTTGGATTATAATGAACCGTATAAACAAGCATTCTTAACAAAGTCACTTTGTGGTAGAACACTTTTCAATAATATCATCAAGAACTGCAGGAAAGAATGACAGTTGCACTTGGAATCAATTAAACTGTTTACTCATTCACAACAAAGTCACTGAAGGGCTACATATTTTGTATTAATATATAATCATAACCAGTCTAGGGTAAAATTGATGCGCTTCTTAATAATGTTGCATAGGAATGACATCCTTGTCCTTAGATAGAGTCCTTAGACCCCAGTCCTTAGAGTAGATAAGGTTGTCTAAACATGCATCCAGTCACTGTCCAAGTCACAGAGTAGAAGAGAAATTGGTGACAATGTATCACTTTAAAGAACTGTATTAAAATGGTACTGTAATGTCAGTTGCACTTAAAATAGATTTAATCATTTTGGCATGCATCCGCAATAAAGTCGCGCAACGGGAGAGCAGAATGTGACAATGTATCCGTTCAGTCATGCACGCATAGCAAGTGGCCACCACATGTGCACACCCTACCGAGCAGCGCCGGCGGCAGGCGGCAGGCCACGGGCGGGAGGCGCCAGCGCCGCCACTCGCAGCGGCCAGCGGCGCCAGGCCGGGCTCGGCGTCGGCGAGCGGCGGCCCCGCCACCACGCCACGCCCACGCCACGCCCACGCCCGCGGGCGACAGCAGGCGCGCTGCGACGACTCGGGCTGGAGTGCGGCGGCGGGGCGGCGGCTCCCCGCGCACGCAAGCACCCGCCAGCATGGCGCTCCGCCGCACTCCGCACGCACCGCACCGCACACACACCGCACACCGCACCGCACACCGCACGCGCCCCACGCACCCGCGCCCTCCGTGCGCGACTGCGCCCTCGCCCGCGCCCTCGCCCTCGACGCCGCGCCCGCCGGCTCCCCTCTCCAATAAGCCCTCGCGCGCGCGCGCCGTCCAACCGCGCCCCGCGCCGCGCACCCCCCCCGCCCCCCCCCCACGCGAATAACCTTTTATTCAGCGCGGAGGGTGCCGCGCGCGCGCGCCAAGCCAGGCGAGGCGAGGCGAGGCGAGGCGCGGGGGGCGCTAGAGCCCACAATGCAGGCCTGCAGCGCGCGCCGTCGCCCTAAAGAAGGCAGCGCCTATCTTGGGGCCTCGACGACGCTGCGCGGGCGATTGGCTCGCGCGCCCCCGCCCCCGCGCCGCCCCCGCGCCGCCCCCGCGCCCCGCGCCGCCCCGCCGCCCCCCGCGCGCCCCGCGCCGCCCCGCGCCGCCCGCGGCGCCCCCGCGCCGCCCCCGCGCCGCCGCCGTCAGCGCTGCGTTGGGCCGGCGGCCGTCCCCGGAGTGGCGTCGATGCGTCGTCTTCGGGTTTCGCGGGGCGGGGGAGGTGCGGAAGGGATTCGACCCGAGTGGAAGCGATGCCAATGTTCGCAACCTGAGGAAGTTACCGTAGGGCTGTTACGCGGGGATGCATAGTTAGCGATGGCATAAATGTGATGAAAGGGGAGATTACAGAATGTGGGAATGGCCAGAAAGAACTGAAGAAATGTTGCACAAAGATGATAGTAATATCTCCATAAACGTTGACTAACCCGAAGATTATCAGCGTGCGCGTTATGCAGTCAAATGAATTCGGATAGTAACGGGCTAAAGACGGTGTCGTTTCATGAGCCCGACAGCTACGCGGGCGAATGGCTGGGCATCACGTCCCCACGTTGCCGTTGAGGCTGCGCTTGATTCGATGCGGAAGACGCGGAGAGACGCGGAAGAGATGCGACTCACATGGACACGATACCGCTGTTCTCAATCTCAGGAAGTAATCTTAGCACGGTTCTACGGGGATTCGAAAAGATCAAGACTATTGAAGCTGTTCATTCTGTAGAGTACATGTGATGAAGGCAGTAGAAAACATCATTGGGGTGTATGTCTGCTATTAAGAAGAGACTTCAGTTCCTTTCGTCATTTGTCTAACTTATTTTTGTTTCCTCGCGGCTCGCCATGGAATGCCTTCGTGTCTCTGTAGGAAAGCGTTCGACTCTGTTTCAACCACACAGTTCAATCACTTTCTATCCTTTCCATTTTCTCATATTTGTGTTTTCTTACCTTCCAATTTCGTCTATTTCCGTGGACGAAGCGATGGGCCAGAAGAGGTACATAGAAAGAGACAAATGGCCCGAGAGATTGGACAGGAATGCACCGCCGTGGGCCTGACTTCCAAATTCTCAAGCGCGAAGCAGGCGCCTAGTTTACGTGCTCAGGAACTTCGAAGAGAAGAAGAAGGTTAACAGGGCTGAGAAAAAAAATGAAAATGACTTTCCATCCACTGCCAATCTGTCGCTTAACAGCATGCGCTCACTAACGAAAAACGGCGTTGCAATAAAATAATTCAACATTCACTATCTGTGATATCATTGAGTAAAACGCATGTATTGGCTAATAGACGTTCTTATGTATTCATGACACATCTTGATTCCCAAACCTACTCAGGAAGATGATGGAGAAGCTGGGTGATTGAATTATTGAGTGACACAAAATAAGCATTCAGATACACTACATAATTTAATTTATGTAAAATCAGTCTTTACAGATATTGAGGATACGTATATTGATTTAAATATAAATGTTGGCAAAGAAACAATTTTCTTTTATAAATAAATGAGTGGACTTAATTAAAGAACAATATAGCTCGTACTATATTTTCTACAGATTAAATAGTTTAAAACGCACAAAACTATTCTTGAGTTATGTGGTACAACAACTTTCAAGTTCACAGTTCACTGCCGAACTGTCACTCACACGTTATCTTTCTATGTGACAAAATTGAAAGAAAATCTAACACATTGAAAAGACATTCTATCGCAAAGGAAGTTTTGGCCTTTGGATGAAATGTCAATGCTATCGTGATGTTCATTTTTGTACACTCTATCACTTCTAACCTGCACATCAGATCGATTCTTGTACAAATATTTAGAAAACCTTATCTGACAAATCACTGTTCTTCTTGGATTTATTTCCACATTCAAAAGTAACTTTTATGCATCAAAATACTGAGCACAGTACGATAAAAATGTACTGTTTTCATATGTCAAGTGGGTCTTGAGTTTAGGTCAATGAAAGAAAACCAGGTCTTTAGGTTGCCAACGTTTCGATCATTTATTGCCATGATTAAGCGCGAATAAAAGACCACAACGCTGGCAAATTAACGTGTTGGTTTTCTTTAATTGATCTAAATTTTAGAACAATCATCATAAAATTCCAACAGGTCAAAGATCATTGAGTTTATACTGTTTTCAACAAAATTTTATTAAAAGGGTATTGATTGATTATTTTAACAATGAGATCTCGTGTATGCAAATATTATAATTAACCCGTTCACATAATTAATGGGATCCTATCAACTAATTATCTATAACTTAAGCAAATTTATGCAAGCATGTATGCTTTGTTGGTTACTCGGTGACATTATATAAAAGTACTGTGTTCAGCAATAACAAAAATATCATAAAATTAAAATTTAATTTGTCAGTCAGTCCTTATTTACACACACATGCACTCACAGTCACTACACTATCACAACCTTTTCGGAAGACCAGTCGGGAGCTTAGAGCTTGGCGTGTCATGCTGGTGAGAGGGACCTGGTTGGCAAAGCTCGGTTGACGGATCTCGCCATCCAGTGGAGGAAGATCACCACCACCTCCCGAGGAAAACACATGCACTACACTTACTGGACTCATGATCTTATCAGTTAACGCGCGAATCACCGATAGATCAATGAATCAAACCTGCATGTCTGCATAGCGCATTTAATTTAGTGTTCCGAAATTCATGCAATACTCGTATGAAATTCATGGTATTGTTCTAGATTAGTTATGTTGGTTCATTAAATAACAATCTCAGAGAGTAGAAAAAGGTGCACGAATGATGCGACATTATTTACTCACCTTTTCGATTCATTGCCATATACACAAGGGATCCAGTAATGTTGTTATGCCCCCTTTCTTATTTTCAATAAACATATGTACACGAAGGTACATTTTTTTCATGAAGACACATATTCCCCTTCGTTTCATTGCAGATACTTGTTCCTAGTACACATGTCAATACATAATGAGAGCAAATGGACTCGATTGCTCATGAATGTCATATTGTGATTTGTATGTGTCCAAACACCATGATTACTTTGCGAGACGTTTTAAAATATTTGTGATTTCCCAAATTTAAAAAAAATCTTGAAATGAATAGTTAGAAGTTCTCTTTATAACAAAAAAATAGTTAAGAATTAATATATCTAAAGAATTCATACTGTTATAAAATAAATTAAATGGTAAGCAATTCATTATTGCGGGAACGAAAACAATAAATATACTTTTGCAATTATCTAAAAGTTAATGAATGTTGATGTTTTTAAACTCCCCTATAGTATCACGTTCCAGCAGTAACTCGCAACCGCTGTTACAAAGACTCATTCTGCGCAGGCATCCTCCCGCTTGTTATAAAATATGTGTTTGCGCTTTTGGAGGGCGTGCCCCCACGTGAGGCAAACCTGTGGAAGGGCCCAACGAAGGGCGCTGGGCTTGGAGGGAGGGAGAAGAGGAAAGCGGGGGCCAAAGAGGCTAATTCGCCGCGTGCTGAAAAATTCACTCGCACAAAAATGAGAGAAGAATGGACGACCTCGTTGGCGACGAGGTCTGGGTAAAGGGGGAATACGAACGTAAGAGGTGGACAAGTAGGAATAGTACTGGGTGGGGTTAGAAAGTTAGTTTCAAAAAACCTGAAGTCGTAGGAGACAACTCAGAGGGATGTTGTTGCATGAACGATTAAGGAAGTGAAGAGAAAATATCGTAGTAAGAGAAGTGGTTTGCATTTAGTTTCGTTGATGCAAAGTAGTCAAATCACACAAAATCTCTAGTTACGTCGTTTTCATCATTTTTTAATGAGTAAGTTCTCATCATACCCACTCGATGTCCAGATATGAAAGCAAAGATGGTTTTAAATTGGAAAATGATTTGGAATTTACATTTTGAGACGATTGTCTAAATTTGCCGCCTAGCTAACAGTGAGACTAAGACACATATGGCGAACATAACGTATTCCTTTGACTGTAACCAGCAAACTCCGCCTACCTGTGCTATTTTTTGTCACGTATCTATATATATAATCGAGATGTAATGGCTGCAGATTTTTGTTGCTTTGTTAATCACTGTCATTGGTACAAGCGAGTTACTTGTTACCGGTAGTAGTATGTTTTGTGGTCCAGCAATATCTACTAGAACTACGAATACAGTCAAACTCCGGTCTCCTGTCTCACTTTGAAAATCTTCTGATAATGAATTATACTGAAGGTTGTCTAAATCATTGAAAGCTACATAACGATTAAACGAAGGTAAAATATTTAGAATTAAACTGTCGACGCGCGCAGAAGAGATGGGTAAATGAAAAGTGGAGCAGAGTCGAACGTCGGTGTCATGTTCAAGGTAGTGAGATCCAGGCGCTGTCATCCGTAGTGTTCCAACCGCATAAACCGTTACTTTAATTGTAACCGCAACGTTAGTTATATTGTAGTTGGTCTGAAGGTGAGGTAAAACACAGCCCGCAAAGAGGGCATCCCGGAAGCTACGTAGATGTTGGGAGAGGCGGGCTGAGGAAGAAGGCGGCAAAACACCGAGGGAGAGACAAAGGGCGCCCGCGCAGCGCACCGCCGACAAAATGCGGCGAACGAGGGTGAGCGGGTGGGGGGGCGGCAGGGGCGAAATCGCGGCTTCAAATGAAATTTTGAC